GATACTGCAAAATCCCCATTCCCTCCCCACTCCAGGGGAAGGATACTGCAAAATCCCCATTCCCTCCCCACTCCAGGGGAAGGATACTGCAAAATCCCCACTCCAGAGGAAGGATACTGCAAAATCACCATTCTGTCCCCACTCCAGGGGAAGGATACTGCAACATCCCCATTCCCTCCCCACTCCAGGGGAAGGATACTGCAAAATCTCCATTCTGAGGTGGCATTTGCCGGTTCTCCGAACTATTCAAAATTTCCACTACCAGTTCTCCAGAACCTTTCAGAACCTGCTGGATTTCACCTCTGCTTGGAGGTCTTCCAGTCCAACCCCCTGCTCAAGCAGGAAACCCTATACAATTTCAAACAAATGGTTGTCCAATCTCTCCTTAAAAACATCCAGTGTTGGAGCATTCACAACTTCTGGAGGCAAGTCGTTCCACTGATTAATTGTTCTAACTGTCATGAAATTTCTCCTTAGTTCTAAGTTGTTTCTCTCCTTGATTATTTTCCACTCATTGCTTCTTGTTCTACCCTTGAGTGCTTTGGAGAAGAGGTTGACCCATTCTTCTTTGTGATACCCCCCTCAAATTTTGGAACACTGCTCTCATGCCACCCTTAGATCTTCTCTTCACTAAACTACACATACACAATTCCTGCAACCGATCTTGATATGTTTTAACGTTCAGTCTCCTAATCACCTGTTTCTCTTTCTGCATTCTTTCTAGAGTCTTTTTTGTCACTTTTTGCTGGTTGAGTGGTCAATCCAATGGATATCACAGTTCAGTTTAAATAACTGTCATAGGCAATTACACGCAGCCCTTGACTTAAAACCGTTCAATTGATGATTGTTTGCAATTGCAATGCACTGAAACAAGTGACTTATGACCAAATTTCATACATGATCATTGCTGTGTCCCCACAGTCACATTATCAAAATTCAAATGCTTGGCAACTGACTCATATTTATGATGGTTGCAATGTCCCAACCCACCATCCTGGGCCCAACGTTTGGGAAGCCAGGCTCTGTCCGTCACAAGCCAGGACAAAGGGTGAGTGATGGAGGAGTAACANAGGGTCTCGTGGGAATAGATGGACTTACCCCTAAAAAAAAGTCATCTCGCAGAGCAGGTGGCTTATCTGCATCTATTACCATGATTCCCTGGAAAGGAAAATGTTCACAGGTTATCAGAGGCAAAATAATCGTAGTACATTAAGTGGTGCATCTAGAACAGGGCTATCAAACTCACGTCATCACGTCGTCATCACGTGACGTATCAGGACTTTTCCCCCCTTTCACTAAGGTGGGGGTGGGCGGGGCCAGCACGTGACGCTTCCGGCCTGCAGGCCGTGAGTTTGACACCCCTGATCTAGAACATATAAAGTAGCCATGAAAAATTACAGTCTAGGGAAAATATTAGTCAACCAACTGACTACTATTTGTTAGATACAAAGTTATTACATCTGCATGCCAATCAACTCTCCAGAAGGTTTTCTAAGCTAATCCCACCAGTCCTATATGAACTAGTCACTGAACTGCCTTTTATTTGACTCCTCAAATAATCTAAGGGCACAATGTCTTATAGAAAACTATCAGGCCTATAACATTCAGGAACACAGTGCTAGGCTACCCCCACAAGGTCCTGCTTATATACAATTGCAAACATGAATATCAGCAAAGCCATTGGATAAAATATCTGACCATGACTAGGGAAATCTAGGTTTTAAGATACAGCAGGGCAGTTGCATAGCCTCAAACTAATTTATCTCACACAGTTGCAAAAATAAAATAAAGACATCAGGCCAGCCCTTAGCTATTTGTAACAAATGAGAACAGATAAGCAATGTATTGATTATAATTGTTTTTATAAGTTATCTGATATGGCTTCAGATCATTGTTTCAATCTTCTGCTTGTGGTGTAAATCATAGCAGGATGCTGGAACTTTAATCTAGGCCTCCTATATTCTTCTGTGGATCAGATGAAACTAACTTACCTAAAATGATTAGAGATTTCTTAATAACTTTAAATACTTTTCTTAAATATTTTTCTTACATACAATATGGAAAGAATTTTCGTAATAAAGAGAAAACGCTACTTCGAATGGCATCATATACTTACGCATACACAGGAAATATTTGCTAGTGCTACCACGTTTCCTAAATATCCAAAATAGTCGTGACCAAAGATAAACTGAACTCGTCGTAAGAAGGGTGACTGATAATCTGGTTTGGGAGGACGCTGAAAAGAAAGCAGCATAAAAAAGTCAGGAACTATTTTTTCAGGATCCCTTTAAGAAAATGTGGCCCTGGGATATTGTCTGAAAAGGGCATACTACTCCATCAGCTTGATGCATATGCCTGAGCAATGTCTATTGAAAGCACTACTGGTAGTTCTCGACTTACGACCATAACTGAACCCAAAATTTATGTTGCTAAGTGAGACATTTGTTAACTGAGTTTTGCCCCATTCTTCCACCTTCTATTGTACAGAATTTCAAAGTGGTTTTACAACAGTGCTACAGGAGAAGAGAAATAGTAGGTAAAAGCACCAGCTAGGAATAGTCAATAGAAAAATGTGAGTCTTCAAGCATGTTTTAAGCATACTTAAAAGCACGGTGGGTACCACTATAAAATATGTCCAATTTCTTGATATCGCCAAGAACTGTTTTTCAACTTCATTACATATCTAGACTGATTTAAGTATTTAGAGCTCACAAGTTTATATAAATCACATCAACAATAGCTAGTCTCATACCTCTTTAACTTTATGCTTGTCAAGTTCATCAAAAAGTGTCTGAAACTGAATAGCCGACAGTCCTCCTGGCGGACAAGATTCAAGCTTCTGCACATGGGACAGAAACAGGAATGTATCATACAGATTTCATGGGTCAGTAAAAACAGTATCTTTAAAACAAACTAAAGTAATACATACTTAACTAAAAATGATGTCCTACCCTAATTATTGCTTCTTTGCAATAGGAATCCATTTTTACTTTCTTGAGGACTTGAAGAAGAGCTTCAGATTGGACACTCAAGCTAGGAAACCAAAAGCAGAATATATGGGAAAGTGGACACTCAAAACTAGGAAAGCATAAACCACATAAACCTTCTGCTGTTCATCCTTCACACAAACACATCTTGTACATAATGATTCACAATTATTAATTTGAATTTAACACAGCATAGCACAGCACATGAACAAAAGGGTTCAGCTGACATAGGCATATATGGGACTGATTGGGGTAGATTGTAGGGGTGACACCAAAATATAATTTTATCACATTTTATTTCTCTATATATTAAATTATTGTATTTTATTCCAATTTCATTTTAAATTGTATTTTATCCAATTCCACTTTAAATTGTTTTTATCAGATTTTAGTAATAATTTGTGCCTGGAACTCTGCACTTTGATATGGCCCCAGGGCTAATCAATAAAGTAAACCAATTTTCCACCAGTTCTTTAAGGTGTCTTTCACTTACATATTTTTATTGATCTCAGTATCTTTCAAACAACAAAGAACTTCAAAGGCAGCCCGGATTCCCAAGCGTCTCCGGAAAAGCGATGACTGAACCGATTTCTAGAAAAATATATGAAAAGAAAGCCTATTGAAATTAACAGAAGAAAGATACAGACAATTAGTCCAACAGATATTTATATAGGCCATTACAGANACAAATACCATATGCTGTATGAATAATTTGGTACATGGAGAATTTCAACAATTCTTACATGGCTCCTATCTTTTTCATAGCTGAATGTCTTGGTGAGAGCAAATAAATAAGACTCGGAGGAAATTCCTCCTTCCCCAAACTTTTCCATTCAAAATAATTTTTTAAAAAACCTTAAAAGCAAACAGCACCCTAGGATTGGATGTTTTGAAATGTTTATATGTTATCGGGATCTTGTCCTTTAATTTCTCTGGTTCCCAAACCTTGTCTAAATATCAATAAGCATTTTCCTTCTTTAATTTCTTTTTTTTTTTAATCACAAAATATTTTTGTCCATTCCTGAAGTACTCCTGAAATCTGTAGAAGGCTTGCAAGAATAGCTTTACTTCTCCACTGACACCTAGTCTGCCGTTAGTCTATATTAACTCTGCAGGACTCAATTTATCCTCACTGTGCAAAACACTGTTCCTTAAAAGCAACACAATTAAAGACTCCAACCAGCATGAAACAAAGTGTTAAAAGCTATATTTATGTAGTTACTTACCAAGCACATATAAATTAAAGTAACCAAAACATCTTTACAATCCCCAAGGTATTCACAACTTTTGAGTACTCTTGAGGATTGGAAACTGAACATTGAGAAATGTGACGCGCCCTAAACAGGCCTCATGGGTATCCCTGTAACCCTCCCGCTATAATGTCTTCTAATTATGTCCTACATGGCAACTTACATTTGGAGCTCATTGCCTGAATACTTTAACAGGAATACAAGAGAGAAAGGAAATGTGGAAAATATAAAAGGCATCATTTATCTGTGAAAATATCCCTGCATCTAGAAATATCCTCTTTCTCGGGGAAGTATTTTTTAGGTTCGAAGTATGCCTCTCATTTATTTCCCCACCCCCATAAAAAACTAGGTATATATTGGTACAGATTACAGTCTCTTTAGCTGACAAGTTAGTTTTCCATTAGTCAGCTGCTCTTAGTATCCCATAAATCCTGGAAGTTCACAGCTCATTCTTAGTCTATGACTTCTTTAATTTTTTTTTAAACAATAGATTTATGCCTATAAACCTAGGGGAGTCCCATACAGATAAAGCTATTATCATCTGTGTACTGTGTGCTTGATCAAGTCCAGTGTTAGACAGAAAAAAAGAGATAGAAAGATAGAGTGGATGGGCAGCCCCTATTTTTTTTTTTAAAAAACCTATTTGATTTATTTATTGAAACAACAGGGTCGCCAACATCCCTTTCCACAAATTGCCAATGTTTCTTGAGAAAAATTATTTCATACATGACGGAATAAACAAAGAGGCACAAATCAATCTTGTTGTTTTTTTACTTACCACCAAAATTCCTGCAAAGGTTCTTATGTTTTTCACTAGATCCAGCAGTGTACTGGCAACTAAAGACATGAACTTTGGAGGTGGGGGGGGGGTGGAGAAAAGAATAATTTGTGTGTTTATTTTTTTGGCATTCTTTAGTCTCAAGAGAGAAAAGCAAACTTAAAATCTAAACCCCCAAAAAATGGAATTACTGTAATGTTTGGGATGATCCGTAAAAATCTGAACACAATCAGCATATTTGCTAGACGAACCATGTCCCACAGAGACAGCAAGCCCAACATTTCAGGTCTCCTAGGAAAACAGAAAAAGAGATTTGCGGGGGTGGGACAGAGGGGAGCACCCACAACATTAAAAGCGGTTGCTCTTTCAATCAACCAAAACATAATTTTAGCCATGCCAGATGTTGAAAAAAGAAAAAACCAAGTCCATATAAAATAGCCTGAATCTTAACCATTAGTCTCCATCCTTGAAAGATTTTGTTGTCATTATTTCAAGGTGAAATATAATAGGATGAAGTTTACACATATTTGCAACAGTTTTAAAGGTGTTGTGATCTGATAGGTCTATACAACTTTTTATTTTTTTAACTCCTTTTTATAAGGTTTCCCTACCGAGGCATACAATATAAATGCTGTGTGGCAAAATCCCAATATTGTAGCCTTTTCTCTGCAGAAACATAGAGCTTGTATTCGCACCCTTTAAAAATACTTCCAAAAGATTGAATCAGTCAGAAAAAAGGTCATTTTGCACAATGTAGGAACTTCTGCTTTTGAATTTTTCCGTTCCAATATTTCAACAGAACATAATCAGCTGTTACTAGAACACACTGCTGCAGAAACCAATTCCAAAGCAACCAAACATTGCTTACTAAGGACACATACCAGCCTGGATGAGGAAACCCATATACAGCAAATGTGGAAACCTCCAAAACCTTTGAGAAAAGAAGAAGTAAAAAATAAAAAACTATAACTGATTGCGGTGTAACATGTCCATCTATCAGCAAAAGCAAGCAAAGCTAGCCAAATGATTTCCTATCTGAGCAGCCTCTGCAATGACCTTCAAAGTTGTTCAAGAGCTGGGAAAAGATGGGGGGGGGGAGAAGGATGCAAGGAAGAAGAGATTAAGAGGTCAATTTGTTCATAATTTGGTCAGATCCACTCATTAGAAATTAATATTATTCAAGTATAACATAGGGAAGGGAAATGAACAATAAAAAACTCAATAAGAAGTTGTTAATTCAAAAGGAAGACAATTCTGAATTTAAGATGAACCTCACCCCCTTCCCCTTCCACAAAATTAGCAGGGTTAAAAAAAAAGTCTACATGCATGCATCCTAGCCTGAAATGAAATTATAAGGGCAATGCTAGGCAAAATATTAAATTAATTATCATTCAATCAATGAGTACTAAATACAGTTAATTTCCTATCAAACATCTCATTTGAAGAGTGAGTTGATTCACATCTACCTATCCTCACAGACACATATGTGCATACGATATATATACATATATACCTACATACACACCTCCACCTCTCTTATTTAAGAGCCGTGGTGACATAGTGGTTAGAATGCAGTACTTGGTGGCGCAGTGGTTAAATGCAGCACTGCAGGCTACTTCTGCTGACTGCCAGGAGTTTGGCAATTCAATTCTCACCAGCTCAAGGTTGGTAAAATGAAGAACCAGATTTTTGGGGGTCTCTAAAACACTGTGAAATGGTATATACACCTAAGTGCTACTGCTATTTGCACACATACAAAGAACGACATACACAGCCACTTAGAAAAAAGGAAACATGGCCTCAGAAACGATAAAAGAGGTTTTCATAAAGCTCAAAGGAATATCTTTATGAGCTTCCCCCCCCTTCCAGAATGGAAACAATTCCATGACACTTACCATCAGAACCAAAGTCAGAAGTCCATCAAAGATGTTGCTTGGATAGGATAAATATCTTTTTAATCCCAAGGCCACTAATTTCAGCAACATTTCCAGAAGGTAGTACAA